TTCAAATAAATCAATCGAAAAAAAGTTGACCGACAGTCGTCCAAAAAAATTATCTTCTAATCCATCATCACAATCATTAGTTTTCTCATCAAACATATGGCATCTTCAAAATCATTGAATTTTATTTTATTTCTCCATATTTATATACAATTTTTAATTGGTTTACTTATTAGTACCAATTTGATGATAATTAATATATGCCTCGACAAAAAAAACATTAGACCTAAATGTTGATGATTCATTTTATTGTCCATATTAACATTGTTATTAGTACCCCTTACATTGTAATAGGTTGGGGTGTAAACTGTTAATGAGTCGAGTAGAGCTCAAGTCAGGGAAGCTGAAATTTGAGGTCAAACTTGTGTCGAGCTTATATTATGAGCTTGAACTCAGCTCGTTAGTTGATTATCAAGCTTGAAAGCTCGACTCAAAAGAAACTTGCGATGGAATCTATGACAAAAGCACCTTGAATTGTTGTCGGAAAAGTCGTAGCTCCCCGGAGAATGCATCTAGGGCAGCTGATGCTGTTATCTAGAGAAGTGCACCGCGTGGGTACACCTTCTTTGTACTCTACAACAATTAATGTTAGAGAGAGGGAAGGAGTAGGCGCGACTGCAATCCTTCCACTACTGAATATTTCAAGCTTTTATTTTTCTACTGCATTAAATGTAAATACAGTTTCTTTTTATTTTTTTTGGATAAACAACTGTCCGAGTTCTTTTTTTTTATATAGTTCAATATAAAATTAAGTTCATCTTGTCGAGTCCGCTCGGAAGTTTACCAGCCAAATTTTCCTTTGCTTGAACTCAAGCTCGTTTAATTAACGTGCTTAAATTTGAGCTTGAGCTCGAGTTTGTGGCTCAATAAGCTTGACTCATGAGCTCGTTAGCAGGTCGAGTTTGAGCCGGCTCAGCTCACTTACATCCCTAGTAATAGGTGAAACGGGCTGAACTGAATTGCTTTGATGAAATGATACACTCCCTGAAGATGTAGTAGTGTTCTTGAACACAAAAAGTATAGCATTTGCTCAATCTGATTAAGTTAAAAAACATGATTTTGTGATAAAATGTGTTGAGGAATTGTCTCTCTTCTGATATCAACTCTTCAAATGTGTTAATTAATTGTCTCTCTTCTGATAAACCACGCCTAATGACGTAGGGAGTATAATTTTAGTATCTTCAATGACCTTATATCGTTAACTGCAACTCTTCAAATATGTTTATGTATTTTGATCTTCTGTTTTAATCAGTTAAATTTATAAGGTAAACTATTCCGAACTTGTAAATGCGAACATTTTCTTTTAAAAGTTCTTTTATTTCAGCTTAAGTGGCAGTTGGTTTTCTTCTAAACTTTTCCCTTTGCCCTTCATGCTTTTTCACTAAATTTTAGCTTTCTCAGTTTATTTCATTTTTGCCGATATTACTTGTAGTTCATTAGGCATGGTTTATCACTCGAACTAGTTATCTAAAATACCTGATTAGAACAAATTCTTGGATTAACTTTACCATCATAGGTAGACATTTTAAGTTCTTTTTTTATAATTTTATTTTTTTATTATGTTATTTTATACACCCAAATTTCAACACATATGACTTTCATAAACATCATTATTAAACAAACTAAATTATATATCATGAGTATCTTTTTGCATCCTGTTTGTGTTAACATTCAATTGGATGATGTTTCCATTGTGATTGGAATCTACTTCAATTTAATATGCATGAACCTGATTAATGAGTTTTCATGTTTTGATTGATGTGTTAACTATATTAGTTTCATCGCTAATGGTTGTGTTCGTCCAGTAGTTCAACCAATTAATATTGTCAGTTTGACAAAATCTCATTTCTTTCATGATCTATAAAATTTTTCTGGTAATTAGCTCTACTTTTTAGTGACGTGTTAAAACAATCTAATGCTCTAACACTAATTTGATGAAGGGTGGTTCAAGTTTAGAGCCTAAAATGGTGCTATATATGTAAATCATACAAAGGAACTTAAGATTCACATAAAAACCTTGCAGTAATCTAACACACACACACACACACAGATATATATATATATATATATA